TGTGATTTGTAGGTCAGTCATCATCCACCGGTAACAGCACATCATGCTGAAGGCCGTAAATGGGTGGTGCATCAAGATTTCTCGATGACGTCACGATTTCGTGGCAAATATCTCTCTGTTACACCTACTGGTTATACACATGTTAAGGTCAGTCGCCGTTTCTGCAGTGAATTATGAATTGATCCATTTTGTTTGAGAGGATCACATGGTTTTTGAGCTTGTTTATTCGGAGATAAAAGCTGAAATTTTTTAAGTTCGTGGAATCCGGAAATGAATATATATACAAGAAAGTGACAACAACTGTACATAATATTATTGTTGGGAAATTATGGATTGATAATCACGGTGAAATGTTGATTGAAAATCATAAAACACGAGACAAATGTGTCTTGAAATTTCATCCCTACAGTTATTTTTCGCGGGAACCTCCACGTAAGGTGATTTTTTTACGGTTCAATTTTACTATTTTTCAAAAAAATGTGTCTCTGTAACAATCGAAGGAGGGCCTGGGCGGCTGTAGAAGGTACAACTGTGGGGATACTCGCCCAGATCAATTAATAAAACTTTATTGAGACAAGCACCAAAAAAAAGTAGCAAACCGCGAAAAATTCGGCAGCAGCGCCAAGCTGCCACCGTGCAATATGGAGGGCGAGAGAGGAGGAAACTTGACACAAAAAAACAATACCATTTCATTTTTAATCACAATATTACATATCACGGAAGGGAGAGCTCGAGTCAGGAGGCGGGATATTTGCATATTACATGGAACCGAACAATAACTGGGCAAGGGGAAAGAGTTTAGCCACCAGCTTCACATCCTTGCTGCTTGCACCTTCTTCCTTCTGCAACACTGTTTTGGTAGAAAGTGATTCAAACAGTGCACAGTTCTTTATTCCTCCATGTTGAAAAAAAAGTGACATACAGATACGAAACGCGACCGCTAACGAAGGTGGGGAGAAAATACCTTTTGTGACCAAGAAAGCGGCGAAGTGAACAATGCTTGGAACTTATCTCTTCACGACTCTTCGTGACTGTATAAACAATCAGACTCTCCAGTAATTGAGACTTCTAAGAATCACGACTAATATAGTTGCTAAATTTAAGGTTGCTGGTTTGGTGAAAGATCCGAACGGGAAGGTGCAGTGGCTTATCCAGGGTGTTTGGGATAGCCATTTGGATATGCTCAGAGTGACCAAAGAAGTGGACAGTGGTGGAAATGCACGTTTTGAAACAGATTCTCCGATTCGTATTTGGACCATCAATCCGCCAGTGTTTGTTTTCCTTCCGCCGTTTTTAATCTGGAGCATTTTCGCGTGTCCAGAATATTCAAGAATTTCATAGACACCGGTTTTACAGGGAATGCTTTCTGCCGAAAGGCAAATAATTTGAATGATAAGTAACGACCGTTAGAAGGCCAAATCAGAAGTGGACGGTTCAAGCGGGGCGGTCGAGATGGGTTTTTTGAGGCACCTACTATAATTTCTCAAATGTCGGAGCAGTGGATGCATTTGTTTTAGTAATTCTAAATTCTTCATGATTTTCACTGGATTGGAAGTATCATTTTTCATGGAGTTTTCTAATAAATAGTACCAATTTCTAAAAATTACGATATCACTGGTTTTAATTTCGAAGTCCTAGCATTGGCTAGGGAGTCAAATCCGCCATCAGCTTTTTTGTAAGCAGCGCTAGAAGGAGGGAGCTGTTCGCCAACCTCGCTTGTAATTAATGCTGTTGGCACTTGCTACTAAAGAACTACTTCAGAATCGAAAATTAGCGGAAAAGCCCGGGTTTTTGCCTGCACTCTCTCGTGAGGAGTGAATGGTTTTGACTTTTCAGAGTTTGCTGTTTTGCTTGATTTACACATTTTTATCGGTTTTGCAAAGAATTTCTGTATTTTTAGAGATATTTTACATTTCCGCAAATTTTGTAATGCTGCGGATTGTCACCTGTTAGATCAGTATAGAAGCAATGCGAGTTTTAGCCTCGCAGCATCAAGCGCACTAAAACGACCTTAATTTTCAGCTTTCGAGCCGTGTCGATCCCAGCAGGAAACAGCAAAAACTCGGATTTTTCCGTTCATTTTTTTATTCTGTTATTATTCTCAGTTATAAATTTTGCAGTGAAAATTCCGAAAAGATGTATTATTTTACAAAACTGGCAATTGAATTGAACGAAATGGAGCCAGGTGTGGCACTGACTGATTCGCGCTTACGTCCCGATCAACGACTTATGGAAGAGGGAAAATGGGACGAGGCGAACGAAATGAAGTTAAAAATCGAAGAGAAACAGCGCAGCACTCGACGACAAAGAGAAGCCTTAGCTGAGAAGGCTTTGCAGAAAGGTAAGCTACGCTTAACTGTGTTTTTATAATTTTTTATCGGCTTAGCCGATGGGCATCACATGGTGGGAAGTAGCACTGTTGCCGTGCGGCTGGCGAAGAGTTCGTCTCTGCCGCTGAAACAGTCAATCCCTCTACGATTCGTTCATTCATTTCGATGATAAATTGGTACTGGCATAGCTAGGGAATCAAACTAGCCATCAGCTTGCTTGTAAGCAACTTTCTGAGGAAGGACCTGTTGACAGCCTTGCCAGCAAGCGGTTGCTGTTTGGCAGTTACTACAATCGAGTTATTTTTCGAGTGCCTTTGTCTCACAGAAAGCGAATACAAAAGGAAAGGGGCTGACTTTTGGTATTATCAGATATGTGCCGGAATTTTTAGGGGTTGGGACCTGTAGTGGCTTTTTTAGGCAATAGTATTAAATAAAGAGGGCATAGGCAACCTATAACAAATCGGCTTGTAGTAGGCTTTGGAGTCCATGTACAGGTTTCCTGATTTAGAACTGTCGCTTACAGGTTTTCTGAAGGATATTTGCCTACCCTTGGCTGTTCTGTAGCGGGCAAATGTAAATTACTTGCACAATACAAACTCGAAATTTGTTTACTTGGAATTTTTGAACATGGCCTGGTTTTGCAGTAACGATGCATCTGCAGTAACGATGCATCTGGCTTGTGGTCAGCTTGCTGGCGATCCTAACTTTTGTTTCGCTTCACTTTTACTGCGCATTATCGCAACTGCGTAGATCCTCTGAAATTCGGCCTAAAATTCGTTTGACATTATTTTGTTATCAAGAGTCCTGGGAAAAATATGGCGAGAAATTCGAAAAAAAAAACAAAAAATTTGAGTTTTTTTTTCAGGCGAGCCATTTGAAGAATACAAACCGTTATGGTTTACAAAAGGTCAGCATGCATCATCGGGTGCACTAATACACATTTTTACTGGCGAATATTGGGAAAAGAAGAAAGCCGGTGACTGGTCCATGTGCCCTAATATTTTTTGAAAAAAAATCTCAATATTTGAGAGAAACTTCTCCATTTCACGTGTAAAATTAAGTTCGAATAGAATTTTGGCACTAGTTCACTTCTGCAAAAATAGCTGAGATGTAGTGGGGTTGGTTTGTTGTGTAGTTTTTGTTTTCGAATTACTGTGCTCTAACATTATTACGGGTCATTTACCTGGTGATTTCTCATTTTTCTTCAAAGGGGACAATTGATTTTTTCTTAAATTTAGTTGACCGGATGTAGTGGATGAATACTAAGCAATTCCAAAAGGGATTTTGAATGAATTTAAAGGATCATCAGATAATCGACAGAAAGCGACCGTAACTTAGACTGATTTTTTGCATTTTTCCTCCTTGCTTTTGAATTTGTCGATTTTTTTTAAATATCCAAATTCTGGAGCAACTGATTTTTCCTAAATTCAAAAATAACCGATTGTGCCGAGCATGCCTAAAAGAGTTTTTGACGAGTGCAAGGCATTTTTAGGTAGCTGCGAAAAGTGATAGTTTAGAGGTTGAGATACAAAAATTATGCATATTTCCTCCTTATTCTCAGATTCCGCGAATTTTTTGCATGCCATTGCTAAAAAATTTTAATCATTAAAAATTGCAAGAGCAAAAAAATTTGTCTTTTTCATTTTATCCCTACTTCCAAGTCTCCCAGCTATTCCGTGCGGCTTAAATAGATTGCTCTGTTATCATCTTGTAATATTATTAGTTCTTATGGTTTTTTTCTTATGTCTGGTAGATATTGTGCGCTTTTGTGATATTGTTCCGGCTGATTCGTTTAAATTTTGGTCCTCAGTTCTTCGGTTGAATTACTTGTGATTTTTTTTGGAATATTGTGGTTTATACTCGGTTGTTATACCTTGTAAGTTGTTTTGCCTGTCTTTCTTTTGTGCTGTTAAGAAGCCGGTTTTTTCAGAAGAAAGCTGTTTTCAAGAGCGTCCTTAAACTATCAACAAATCTTTAAAAGTCAAAACTTTATCATAGTGTTTTTGGCAAAGCGCCAATTTTATCGCGAGATTCATTAGACTTAATTTTTGAATCAAAATTAGTTTCACCACATCTATTCGCTTTAAAAATGCGTTCCGCTTCATAAAGCAGACTATTGTACATCTGCAGTTGTCATCATTGATATTACTATTAGCTTCTTTTCAACAATTTATATTTTCTAATTGTGATTCTTTCTAGAATTGCTTTTTTTCTTATCGTTTCGGTAGACGGGTATGGATTCGTTGCGTTAATTTCTATGCGGAAAGCTCATGATTTTTCGCGAAATCACTTGTAATTATCACACAAATAGCCAATTTCTTAACATACACACCCTTACATGTCGTTTGCTTACTGTCTTCTTTTTGTCTTCCTTCGTGAATGTTACGTAAATCTGCCTCATAGAGTGCAACGGATTATCACACGTTGTAACCATAGTCTTGACTGAGTTATTATCGTCAGTGAATTCATATTGAATTTAGATATGGGTAATAACTGAATAAATAGCAGTGCATATCAATTGCCTTCTAGCTATGCATATCAATTTCAGCCTTCTTTTTTCGTTCTCGAGTTAACAGTTTTCCCGCCAAAACTCCCACGCGCTCGCACGCAAGGCCCGGACGTGCTGGAGAGTTGGTGCCGCGGCCCTGGGGTAGCACATGGCCGGGGAGCCAACTGGCAAAATTTTGGCGTCGGGGCTTGCTTGATTGTCGAATTGAAACATCCGAACAGACGAACACACACACAGACATGGGCACACGCAGACAGATTCGTCGCAAAATGCGTTTTTGCAATCTGCATATAGACAAAAACGCATAAAAATTGACAAAGCCTGGAAGAATACTTTTGGCACCATATTTATAGCCACATAAACACTACAACCTCGTACTGACAGCGTCCAGTTGCGGTGCTGAATAGGAATATATACGACTTCATGGACCGAAACATTCCCACTCATATGATTGTAAATTTGCACCGACCGCTGAGCATCCTCGCAAAAGAAAATGTGAACAAAAGAAAGAAAACGGCTTCAAGATAAAAAAAAATAGAACTGTTAAGGACAGTTTTAGAGCAAAATTTATGGGACGAAAACTAAAAAAATGAATCAAAGGCGGAGAAATGAGAAGGACTGAAAACGAACAGCAAAGAATTCCGTTCTATCAAGTGCTGGAAGTTTTAATTAGACGCAGCAAATGGCTCAGCGCCAAAATTTTTCTCGCTT